CATAAGAAAGGGTGGAGCATGCACAGTGACATCATGGCACATATTTTGTCATTTGGACATCATTGTAGTTAGGAACGTATGCCAATAAATATTCTGAAGAAAATTACAATCAAACACCAACAATATCAAAGAAAACACAATTGTCATGGAAACCTAAATCCATTATACCTTTGCTATATATTCTCAACAAAGGCAGCCTCCAGGACATTAAGAATATCCTCCCCAAAGTTGCAGTAGCATGTGATCACCAAGCTCTACCATTCTGTACATATCTACCTCAATTTTTGGTATAGTTATTTTTAAATGAACAATATACAGTATTCAAAAGTACGTAGTGTTAGAAAGAATAATATTTATATTTTATCCTTACTATGTTCTTGCTTATACTTATACAGTAATATATCATCTTGTCTCATGGGAAGGAAGTCCTACCAAAGTTGTATCAATATCAGTATTTCATAAGTTGTTTCAATAAATATAATTTTCCAGATAGTATTATGAATCACAGAAATGACTCATCATTACTACCTTATAGTTGAAACCAACTAACCACCAAATTGTCTTACATGTTTCAATTTTCATGCACAAAACAAATTATTCTACAGTCACAACACCAAATTGACATTGGAAATAGTAAATCGATAGAATATTTCTATTCTCCAGATTACTCAGTCATTGACCCCATGGTTCTAATTATTTATTCAATTTCACTTAAAACATTTCATTGTGAAAAGCAGCTAAACTAGAAATATTATGGAGTTACTGGCTTAATACTACAGTATTTCTTACAGATTAAAAATAAAGTTTATCATCATGTGTCACATCTTAACACTTTCTGCAGCAGTTACTTTCTATGAATAATTGTCACCACCTGCAACTTTTCCTTTCAATGTTTGTTCTAATCTCTTTTTAAAGATTCTCTTTGTTCTTTCTCATCTGCCTACTTCCTAATCATATGTGCCATACTCAGATCTGTTAGCATATGCTAGTGTTTGAGATGCCATAGGACTTGTTATTTTCCCAGTAAATTACAAAATACATGTGTATTTTGAAATCCTGCAGTTTCTTAGAATTTAGACAAGAATCTGGATTCAAAGGGAGCACTTCCTTTTTCCCACTCCCCCTCATGTCACAGAATTGACAGGAAAAGTCAAAGTAGCACCTAGCATTTCAATGTTCTGAGCCTTCATTTGTGGGCAGAAGGTAGAGGAGGGACTATAAACAAAACAGAATAAGATAAGCTCTTACCATGCCTACACTTGAAATAAAGCACAGCAGCAACTATGCACACTACCAGAAGTAAAGTGATGGATATGGCAACATATGTTTTTTTCATATCTAAAAGAGAAGAAAACAGATTGTAAGATTACAATATTATTTTAAAACCTTAAAATTAACGTAATAAAAATGAGCAATTGCCATTTCTAATTCTCAAAAGAATGTAAAATGCATTCTCATGTATGCAAGTGGCGATACAGCACAGATGGAGGTGAGATATTAGAGCTTAAATGAGACGGTGTGGGAAATCTAAAATATGTCAGTATAACAAGGGTGGTTCAGTCTCCAAATTGACAAAGACTAACAAAACAATCTTCTGATCATGGTCCAAATTAGGAATTGGCAACGTGAAGCTTTGCAGTCCATTTGAAGCCTTTGGACATTCTTCTAACCATGATTGCTGAAACCTACCAATTGGTAGGCATTTTGAGAGGCTAAGTAGGTAAATACCATAGAGCAGAGGTGTCAAACTCACAACGGCACATTGTCATCATGTGACGTATCACAACTTTCTCCCCCTTTGCTAAACTGAGGGTGGGCATGGCCAGCACGTGACACATCTGGCCCACAGGCCACAAGTTTGACACCCCTGTATCAAGTTTAAAATAGGAGTCTCGCCATTAAAAAACATGACTCAAAACCTTCTGATAAGAACTGACACCACCTTCTTGTTTGCTACATCTAGCTCTGAGTTGTAGTTCTCAACCTCCCCAAAATGTACATATTGACTCTGGCCACAGATATGCTGCTTATCCTATCATCATCACATGAAAGGAACAAAAGGAAAAAAGCCCCAGAAATAACTAAAATAGTAGCCAGCCACAATGTAGAACTAATTGCCATATTCAGTGTCAATGTATCTTGTTATCATATGCTCAGAGCTAGATGTAGCAAACAAGAAGGTGGTGTCAGTTCTTATCAGAAGGTTTTGAGTCATGCTTTTTAATGGC